AAATATAAAATATATAAAATATAATTAAAATAATTATCAAATTCTAACAAAATAATTAATTATTATCGTTATGAAAAATTATATTATTGAACCAAATATAAATTATTTCGTTATTGAATCTAAATTAAATTAAAAAAATTGAATTAAAAAATTAAACAAAATATGAGCAATTTTAAATAGTTAATTTGATACTAATATCGCTATATTTTTGTTAAGTTTTTATGATATATTCAAATTTATATTTTGTTCAAAATTAAAAATATCATCATTTTTTTCAAAATCACATAATACCATATTATAATATCGACTGAGATAAATAATAAAATAAAAATATTAAAATTAAGATGTATCTCGCTGTATTGCACGAATACACTTCTAGTTTTAATTAATGATAATCAGATATATATTTTCCATGTAAAATTCGTATATCAATTGATTATGGAATTTTAATACAATCTCTCTCTCTCTCTCTCTAAAAATCAAATAAACACTTACAAGTGAGAATCCAATGTCAAAATGTCTTCTTTTTCAAGTTCATCACCCCTAACATACAACTTTATATATATATAATATATATATATATATATATATAATTTCTTAAAGGTGTAATGACATTTAGTAAGTATAATGATTGTAATATACAAGATTATAACATGTTAAAGATAAAAAAAATAAAAAATTTCAAAAACAACTGTGTTTTTATTGAGAGATCTGATCAAATGTATTTTTTTACATGTTATAAATACCAACAAAAATAAAAATACTGATAATTCAGATTCTTATTCCTTTATCATTATAAAGTTTAAGAAGAATAATCCCACTTATTTGAAATTCAAGATCTGACAAGCTTTAATATTTTTTTAACAAAAAACCTGAATAAAATTATAATAGTCATCATTCTAAAATTGAAATAAACAGTAATCTTAGTTAAGATCTGTCTACCGATTTAAAAAGTTTGACGATCTTTAATATCATTATATATTGTATAAATATAATGATCGATTTACGACAACAACAACAACAAAAAACCATTACATAATGAAAAAAAATTAACCCTATCATTCATTAATTTTAGTCATATTTATAAATACTTTCGTAAATATAATAATACTTATACATAAAACAAAAATACAATTATTAACGTTATGATTTATTAGTCATCACGAAGTCAAATTTTTCTTAATATGAATTTGAATTTGTCTCAAGATTTGACAGAAGTTAAAAGTTTTAAACTCTGATTAAAGATCGTCTCAAAATGAAAAGATTTAGTGAAAGGTTAATGTTTTTGACTCCAGTTGGAATATATATTAAAAATGCAAGATCTGATAAACATTGATATGTTTTATATATATATATATATATATATATAGGGGCCTATTCAAGGGAGAACTAAGTTGTTTGTGGTAACTGTGAGAACCAATATTAACCACAAATCAATAGATAAATTAGGAAATTTATAAATTTGGTAATTTTAAATTAAGATCTTAATACAAGGATATTTTTGGTATTTTAAAACTCTTCTCTCTCTTCTCTTCTCTCTCCTGCCACCGTTCTCCGGCCTCCGGTCACCGTCCTCCGGTGATACTACTCTGATACTACTGTGATACCTAAAAATATTGACTCTGTTAAACGAAAGATACATTGTGATACCTAATCATATATAAGATGCATAGTGATACCACTGTGTTACATCTTCGATCGACCACACAAACGACATCAATGTGATACCCAAGCACATATATGATGCATTGTGATACCATTGTAGTATCACCGGAGAACGACATCAATGGTATACCCAAGCACATATATGATACACAAATGACATCAATGGTATCACAATGCATCATATATGTGCTTGAGTATCACATTGATGTCGTTTGTGTGGTCGATCGAAGATGTAACACAGTGGTATCACTATGCATCTTATATATGATTAGGTATCACAATGTATCTTTTGTTTAACAGAGTCAATATTTTTAGGTATCACAGTGGTATCATAGTGGTATCACCGGAGGACGGTGGCCGTAGGCCGGAGAACGGTGACCGGAGAGAGAAGAGAGGAGAGATGAGAGTTTTAAAATACCAAAAATATCCTTGCATTAAGATTTTAATTTAAAATTACCAAATTTATAAATTTCCTAATTTATCTATTGATTTGTGGTTAATATTGGTTCTCACAGTTATCACAAACAACTCAGTTCTCCCTTGAATAGGCCCCTATATATATATATATATATATATATATATAGAGAGAGAGAGAGAGAGAGAGAGAGAGAGAGAGAGAGAGAGCGCCAGAGCCAAAGGTTGTTTTAAGAATATTTAAGAAATAAAGAACATATATTAACTTTTTATACAGTCAAGATCGGATTTGATTAGTTAAAAATTGTAGTTATCATTGGTCAAAATTTGTGACTATGTGAAAAATAGAGGGGGTAGTTTCGTAACTTTTACAAATATACGCAAACTGGTTCATATGTGAATCTATGTGATTCACATATGAATTATATGTTCATATGTGAACCCGTGTAATTCGCATATGAACTATTTTAACTTATTTACATATGAACCTTCGTGATTTACATGTGCACTAATTAACAGGGTCACATATGAACATAAAGTTAATATGTGAATCACATGGGTTCATATATGAACCCGTCTGTTGCCTATTTGTAAAAGTTACGGAATCGCCCCTCTATCTTTCGCATACCTACGTGATAAATTATCTGATGCTTCATGGTCAAAGCCGCAAATATTGACTAGATGAAGGGATATAATCACTTCTTTACTTCTCAAATATTTACCACTTCTCAAATAAACATTTCTATATATATTTACCACTTCTCAAACGATAACACCTCTATTTTACGAAAATACGAGAACACTTTTGCACCTCCAAATCAATTAACATATAATAAACATTAGAATAAATGAAAATAAATTAGTGTTTATCCATAGTTTTATGTTATCCTATATTCATCCTTATCCTTAAATATTGTTATTATTTATACCAATGCGTTTGTTGTAGATGATACTGTGATAAGGATCTGATAAATTGAAAACTTTTTATGATGCGTTTTTTATGTGATAATCATCTAATAATTATGTGATTTTTATTGTGATAGCGATGTGATAATGCTGTGATAATCGAAAATCACGATGATCACATCTACATTCATCGCTCTGTCTGTTAATTATGTAATTTTACTGTGATAATAATGTGATAAGTATTTGCTACCAGTTAGCATATTATAAGTATGTGATTTTAAAGATAAAGATGTTAACAAAATTACAGATAAATACAAAATGACATGATGATCCTCAATTAATTATTTTATTTTTAATTATAGTTTAAATAACTTAAAACCCCATAAATGTTCTCGCATTCTCATAAAATGATGGTGTTCTTATTTGAACCTCCATTTATTATATATGTGTATATATATATATATATATATATATGTATATATATAAAATTGAGATCATGTGAGACCAAGGGTTTTTCGTGAGACCCGTAAGACCAATTATCAACTCTTGGATTAGATCTACAATATGAAAATCTGAACATTCATAAACGACACGAGACTTCTCAATAATCACAAAATTGTCACCGTGAAACTTTAGACCATTAGATCATTAATTTATAAAGTTGATCAATGAAAATAAATTGGTCTTACGGGTCTTATGGAAAATCTTTGGTCTCATGTAAACCCAATCCTATATATATATATATATATAATGATAAGCAACAATTGATTATAATTCATTTCATCATTCCTTTGAATAAAAAATACCTTTACTTTTACTTCTACTTTTGTTTGCTCATGTGGATGGTTGCCTTGGTCCCTAAGTCAAAAAGTCTACAACATGTCCAATAATTGTGATATTAATTTAATGGGGTTGCATGTGACATTTCCTCAAGTGTATGGTTGTCTATGAAGTTTTTCCAAAAGTGTACTATTTTCATTTTCACCCCCTCAACTTTTCATAAAATTTGCAACTTGATTCATATAAAACCATATGTTAGAAGCATGATTATTAGATACGTAACAATAAATGGAAAGCAGAGAAAAGTTGAAGAATCCGATGGAAATTCCAAAATGTATGTGAATATATGGTATTCACTGTCTCATATTTGACATGCTAGGTCTATTTAAAATATTTTTCGTTTTATTCATAATGAATATGTTTAACTTAAACCAGATATACTATCGTTTAGCTGTATTCATGTCTATGGTGAACTGTATACTTTCTTTTCTCTCTTACAGATATATATATATATATATGTATGTATGTATATGCATATTGGCCAGTGAGAAAAGAAGTGAGTATGCCACTAATCTATCAATTTTTTATACATCTGTTTGGTTTATTGTATCAGATAAATGATACAGCATAGTTGATTTACCATAATATACTTTGTTATAGTCTTACGAATGTGCCTCGATCACATGAAAAAACCATTTTAACTATAAACACTTTATTGATAAGAAAAATGAGTTCAAATGAACACAAGTTCATAGTTTAAGGGGTGTTTATGTAAATATTGTCTTCCTCTTTTAAATCAAAGGAGAGAAAAGACATTTTAGACTTCTTTACATGATTTATTTCCTTTTTTTAATGCCCACATATATTTGGACATTAAAAATAATAAAATAAAAATAAATAATTAAAAATATTCAAAGGGACAACCTTCTCACTTGCATTTCTTCCATTATAAATACATCTTGCACCATTCCTAACATCATCAAAAACACATATTTTCATTTATTTTTATAAAATATTTGGTTTGATAAAAGAAAAACCGTGTCGAGTGTTCTTTGTTTCGTGACTACTTGGAAGATGGCGAAAAAAGGTCAGAAGTTTCGTTCACAGCCACTAAAGACAGTGTTGTCGTCACCATTGCCGTCAACACCATCACTTAGCAAAGAGAAATACAAAGGAGTGCGTATGAGGAGTTGGGGTTCATGGGTTTCCGAGATCAGGGCACCAAATCAAAAATCACGAATATGGTTAGGATCTTACTCGACCCCTGAAGCAGCAGCCAGAGCATATGATGCCGCCCTTCTATGTGTTAGAGGCCCGATTGCAAATCTAAACTTCTCACAACACCAATATGATCACACAACCACCACCACCACCACGATGATGTCTCCAAAATCCATTAAAAGGGTGGCTGCCCTTGCTGCCGCCACCATTCCATCTCCATCTCCATCTCCACCACCATCTCCAATACTGTCATCTCCATCTTATTCATCACAGTTATCTACAGTCTCTCCATCAAAGTCGTCTTCATACAACAAAGAGAAAAACCAAAGATTCTATTTAGAAAATGATCCCCTTGATGGCACCTTGATGTCAATGGTTGCACCGTGGTGCAACTTCGATTCACCAACGTACAATGATATGATGTGCAACGAGTCTGCGTACGATCCCTCTGATGACGAAGAAGGTGGTGAAATTCGTCTATGGAGCTTCTACTGAATCGATGTGGTTTTTTGTTCTAAGTTATTTTTTGGACCAATTTTACTAACATTTAACTAAATTTAATTAATTTTAGCAATATATATATATATATATATTGTTTTATATCATATTATGATTTAATTGATTCATGTCTATGTAAAGCGGTGCAGGTGATGATGGAGGAAATCCCATGTGAGTTCCTCCCCGACATTCAAATTTAGTTCTCTGTATACTCTCATATTTATTTAATTATTTTAAATCGATTTGTTTCTCTCTCAATAGAAAAATCTATAGTGTTTACACACACAAAATATATCATATAATATATATATATATATATATATATTTATTTATTTATTTATAATAGTATTTTTAAATTGGATCTCATGAATTGAAAAATTCTTAAAAGAAAGATCATTAATTATATATATGTGAGTGTGTATAGAGAGAGAGAGTTGGGATCATGTGAGATAAAACTGTTTTCGTGAGATACGATTTTTACGCTTGAAACTTCACAACAAAACACTGGAAAGATAACCTTCATAGTGTTTCTGCTAAGAAGATTCGTCTTTTTTTTTTTTACTTTTACAACATTTTGTTGTGAAGTTTTCAAGTGTAAAAATCGTGTCTCACGAAAACATCTTTGTCTTACGTGAACTCAACACACACACTCTCTCTCTCTCTATATATATATATATGTAAGTATATATATTTATATATATATATATATTTATACACATGCAGACACAAATAACTATACACATACATACAGCAATTACTAAGAAAATAAAAATTATTACTTTCATGGTAGATATGTGGTACATGTTCGTACTTGCCCTTTTTTATGCTACATCATTCATTACAACCAATGTATAATTATGTATATTTGTACAACTAATGCAACCCAATTAATTAAGTATAGAGGTGGGTTATTATACAAATATACAATCTTTTACATTTGTATAATCAATACAACTCAATCTCAGCTGTCCATTTAATTTGATAAATATGTAATTTCATAAAAGTTTGATTGTTTCCTAATATAAAATATTGATCATAATTAATGAACCGTATTCATCTTCCATAAATATTTAAATCATAATAAATAAACTCTCATCATTTCTATAAATATTTCAATTTATTGGGTTACATTGGTTGTACAAATGTGATGAATTGCATTTGAAACAAACTCTCTCTYTCTATATATATATATATATATATATATATATTACAATAATTTTGAGGCTTTTTAAGAATATTAAATGGATCAACCCATTGATAGATTAGTGACAACTTATTAACTTAGTCAGTTATTTCATTTATTACAGTTTGTATATTTATTGTAAATTAAAAGCAGACGAATCTACATTTTGCAAATGGTTTTAACAAAATCGGTCAAATACAATGAATTTTTAAAAAATTTATGAGTTTCAAATTTGGTTGCAAATTGCAGGGTTTTTGGAAAATATAAATTTGTAAACTCTTTTAATAACCTTTAAATCAACTTAAACCCATAATAAAACTTATTAATAGTTTAGTGTTAAAATTTATAAAATGTTTTATAGAAAATGATTTGGAAAGGGATTTTTTGTATTTTTGCAAAACAATTGTTATTTACAAAGGAAAGCCTAACTCAATATCTCAAAACTTCAAATTTTAACCATAAAGATGGTGTCTGATTGGTTTGAGCTTGAGCTTCAAAGGTTAAAAGTACCTGGAGGTTCCAGGTTCAAATCCAAGGAGGAATAAAAATACCCTTGGAGCTACGGAAGTTCAAATATGGTGACTCCAGACTACCCGTAAAAGCAGGTGGTCATCTTTGGATTAGTCGACTCACATAGCGAATTAGATATCCAGGTTAATCAAAAAATAATAATAAGACAAATCTACAGTAATCTTGAACTGGTGATTAATGAGAAACAAACTCAATTCATGACTAGTTGACTTACCTCTAATTCCGAGGGTTAAAAGTTACAAAATTTGGTCCTTTTTTTGTATTTTCACAAGCACAGTTGTTGTTTTACAACAAATTGATAAGTATCATGGCTGAAAAGTGAGTAACGATACTTTTTTTTAATTAACCTGGATACTCAACACGCTATGCGAGCCGACTAATCCCAGGACGACCACTTGTTTTGCGGGTAGCCCGGAGTCACCGCATTTGAACATTCGTGGCCACAAGAGGATTTTTATTCCTTCTTGGATTTGAACATGAGACCTCCAGGTAATCTTGACCTTTGGAGCTCAAGCTCAAACCAATCAAGCACCACCCTTGTGATTATAACGATACTTTCGATACCCTTAAGTAGAAAAAGTATAAAGATGCAAATTATCACTGTTGAAAGTAAAAGTAGTTATCGACATCTAAACAGTTCAAGTTTCATCAAAGAAACACTCTGTAGTCAGGTCATTTCTTATGTTTGCCAAGTTAACAAAGTAAAGTGACTGGTATTTGAGAAAATAAATGGTGGTTGAAAAGAAATGCAAACGTTGGTGTCTTTTTTGACATTTTTACAAGTATCATGATTGTTATGGAAAAATTGACAAATATACTGGTTGAAAAGTGAAATTTGAGAAACTATAGGGACCTTTTAGACAAATGAAGAAAAATAAAAGGGTAAAAATTGTCAAAAAGTGAAAAAGAAATCGTCGCCTGAGAGATTCGAACTCTCGCGGGGAAACCCCATGTACTTAGCAGGCACACGCCTTAACCACTCGGCCAAAGCGACTAATGATATTTTAATTTCTCTATTTTAATTAATTATTAATCACGAAATTTATGAAAATTTATTTAATATTTTAAAATTATATCATAATAAAGACTAATAGTCTTTTAGTTGGTTTTTCATTAACGGGCCATTTATCAAACACTTATCCCGTAAGTACTTACCGGTAAAATTTAACACTATTATGTACTTCCCGGGTAAGCGTTTGGTAAATGGCCCATAAGTCTTGTATAGATAAATATATATATGTTTAAATTAATCTGTTTGTATAAACTGTGAAAATTTTCGTATGGAATGGTTTTTTCATGGATGAAAGGAATGTGTTTTTCAACCGGGAAGGACAAGTTTGTAAGAAAAAAACTTGACTTTCTGCATAAAGTTTTCTCCGGTAGAAATCTTACTAAGTCACTTTTATATCATTAAGTCGCCACCAAACAATGATTTATAGTTGATCGAATAAGTTGTGAGTTCTATTAAGCTCATTAAGTTGCTAATAAACATGCCATAACTTTTCATTTTGGTTGTTATTTTAATAAACCAACTTTCAAGATCATCATTTGAAGAACCAACTTTCGAAATATCTTACTGTGTTTTTATAGATCAAATGAAGCCATCATTGTTTTTGTTTATATTTTGGTAAACATGAATTTGATCATCAGTTACCTTAAATAGAATTTTAGAGATTTGGTTTTTCAAATTAGCGGTTTTGAAAGTTTTTTTTTATTAACCTGGATATCCAACCCGCTATGCGAGTCGATTAATCTCAAGGGGACCACCTGCTTCGCAGATAGCCCAGAGTCACCACATTTGAACCTTTGTGGCCACAAGGGGATTTTTATTCCTTTTTAGATTTGAACCTATGACCTCCTGGTACATTTGACATTTGGAGCCAAGCTCACACAAACCAGACACCACCCTTGTGGTTGAGGTTTTGAAAGTTGGTTATAAAATATTTAAATGGACGATCCCAAAAGAGAGTTTTATGAAATAAATCAGATCGATATCAACCCATTGATAACCTGGGAAAAGTTGTTACCAAACAGGTTGACAGTCTTGTCAAACTTTTGACCATCAAGAAAAAAAAATCAGAGAGATGACTGTGGTTACTAATTTATCAAAGGGGTTTGTAAAACGGGAATACCAAGTCAGCCCATATCATCCCGTCCAAGTGCATGATGTGATAGGCAAATCAGGTACACAACGACCCGTTAGGTGGTTGATTTAAGTGCTTAGTATCCACAAGAAGCCCAATTCTCAAAAGAATTGTAACTTGTCATAGTTAAGTGAGTAAAACGTGACACGCAACTAATTCCTCTCATACCAGAGAACAAACGGGGTTCTTCGAAATCAACGTATAACTTCAAATTTATGACTATCAGTTCTACCATCAGCTCTAACAGTATAATACATTAAAACAAAAGTGGTCTTTTAGACTAAAATTTTAGGATGGACACGTGTCACAACAGAATACGTAATAAGTCTTCAAATTTACAGTACCAAAAATCATTGTTCTATCTAAAGGTGTTATAACTAGTTGTTTAGGATGAAGTTAGGCCCCCTAATTAACAATTTCTATATATGATGTTGGACAACTTAATATGACAATAAAAGTAAATCGTTCTATTAACCCTTTTTATCGTACACTTTTGAAAAAGTCACACACATATATATATATATATATATATATATTATATGTTGGTTCAAATGCTAACCAAGATTATCGTGTTAACTTTGTTAACCGATCTTGGTCATTAATTTGAATAATAAACGGTTGTGATTTAATGATATTTAAAAATTAATTATTAAATTAATATTTTCAATTAACATATGTGAACAAAATATCAAAGGGTATTTAGGTAAAAAGTAATTTATCTTTGATACACGAGTTGTCAGACATATGAACAACTTGTGTATATCCTCAAAACACATCAAACAAAAAAGATTAGACATATGAACAACATGTGAACTGTATGAACATCTTATGTATATTCATGAGCCAACTCTGTTGTATGTACATGAACACCTACGAAGCTTGTGTTCACATGAATCACATATATTGTTCATATTCATGTGATGTGATTGTGCATATGTATCGATATGAACATCTATTGTCTTTGATATGTGTTCATTTAAACGAATTCAAATGTCATACTAATCACTTACCAATAGGAATGCTTTGATCATTTTCTTCATTATCAGAATTTGAATTGCGAATGTAGTCGTAGACGATTTTGTCATTTCCATTGTTGTCAATCTGTTTTACAATAGGATTATCCATATTACTCGGACGATACGGAAATCTTTTACACTTACGAAAACAATATAATTATATGTAGAACATCATTTGTAAAATATGATCATGAACACGTATGAAAATAAAATTCAATATTACATCATGATCAATTAGTGAGATCTTTAAGATTTGTAACTCCCAATTAATTATTAGGGAGTTACATAAATGTCAAATTACCTAATTATCTTTGTATTTAATATATGAGTTACATTTGAAAATAAATAAAAGATGTAATATGATTGGTTAAGCTTGGTTAATATAGTTAACATATATTTCTTGGTTAGTATTTGAACCAAACTCTCTCTCTCTCTCTCTATATATATATATATAGAGAGAGAGAGAGAGAGGAGTGTTCAAATAAAAACCGGCCCCATTTGTGTAAACCGTATAAACCAATCTCATTCATCCATTTTCTTGATTAATGGTCATAATTAGTTTACTTTATTTTAGAAAATTAAATAAAAATATATATTAAAATTTATTTTATTTCAACAGTAAAGGCATAAATGGTAAACACAATTTAATATTTGGTAACATTCTACTTGATCTTTCATGAATCTTTTTTCATGCAAAATTATTTTCTTCCAAGATTAGTTTACTTTCATGAATTTTTTTTCATGCAAAATTATTTTCTTCCTTTCGTTTTTGGTTTGATGCATTAATTCCTTTAAGTCTTGCAATCTTAAAGATTCTAAAGCATATTACAATCTTCAAGATTCTGGAACAGTTTCTTCATGTACCCGTTTCATCATTCAATTATTTCATGACGAACCAAATACATTATGCAAYCGTTTCACTAGTCATGCTCAAGAACACCATGAACCAGTTTCACTTTCATGAAACCTATTTCATGTACATTAATTTTCTTATTTCACCACTGATTTGATGGATTCATTCCTTTAAGCCTTACAATCTTCAAGATTCCGGAGCAAGTTACAATTTTCAAGATTCTGTAGCAGATTAAAATCATTTCCTCGTTTCATCATGCACTTAGTTCATGACGCATTAAATACAAAATGCATCGGTTTCATTTTCCTCTTCACCAACTAAATGGATTAACTACACAATCAATGCAACGGGTTCACCATGAAAATGTTTCGGTTCACATAATTTATTTGCAACATGAACCAGTTTCACGTTCATGAAACCTGTTTCATTTCTGGATTTTTTTTGTTCATCTACGATTTGATGATTTCATTATACACTTCAATTGTTTCATCAAGACCCGTTCGCTGATTCTTAAATATTACAATATATGAAATTCAAATTTTTAATATTATAATATAATTAAATATTTAAATGTTACCATTTATACAATTTTCTTTATTATGTTTCCTTAATTAAAATTTATTAAGAACTATTATATTTAATAAAAAATATTGTAAATGACTGAAATACCCTTATTGATTAATTTTAATTAGAAAAAAATGAAAATTTCTATTGGTCGAAATTGGTTTACACGGTTTCTTAGAAATGCACGGTTTTCATTTGATCGTGCCTATATATATATATATATGACAGACTACACGACTGAAAAAGTAACTTGTATTATTTTGTTTTTTTTCTTTGTCGATAAAACTTGTTAAATCTTCTAACTTCATCTTAATAACTTATTGTAATACATTTAGATTCAACATAGATTTTCGGTCCTTTAAACTTAAAATCCTACTAAGTATTCTACGTCATACCCAAAGGGTACTCACATAATGCAGCAAGATATACCTTAATTTTTATATTTTATTTTTTATTTCAGTCGATGTTATAGTATGATCTTATGTGATTTTGAAAAAACGATGATATTTTTATTTTTAAATAAAATAAAAATGTGAATATATCATAAAACTTTATAAAAAATATATCGATATTAGTATCAAATTAACTATTTAAAATTCATATTTTTTGTGTAATTTTTTAGTTCAATTTTTATTATAATTTTTTAGGTTCAATAACAAAGTAATTTATATTTGTTTGAATAATACAATTTTCTTATAAAGATAATAATTAATTATTTTGTTAGAACTCGATAATTATCCTCATTATATTTTAGATTTTTTATATTTTAAAATGAGATATTTATTCTCTATTTGATTATGTTTTTTCTGCAGTTAGTTATACGAATTTAAACATGGAGCTTTAATAAGTTGTATTTATGCATAATTTACTTGTAATCCTGAATTTTAAGTAATATAAATCAATATATGCATAAAAATGGTTTTTAAGAGTTTTTATTATATATGCACCCCCTATACATATACATAACCAACCTCTTGCATTTACGTAACCACTTTTTATAGTTATGTATTAATCTCGTATCTATACAGACGTTGAAATTTGATTGAAGAAACAGAACAACGACGACAATGGATTTTTCCGATTAATAAAGGCTAGCTAAGAGGGATAAAATTCACTTTTCCCAAATTTTGTCCTGTCTTATATCACACAGAACGTTAGACAATGAGTTTTATTCCGTCATATCCTATCCTATGTACCAAACAAAGCCTAAATATGCACCCGTTCGACAAAAATCCTGTATCCCACACTGTCCCACAAAAAATTTAAGACTAAAGATGCACCCGTTCGACAAAAATCCTGTATTCCCCCTAAAAATTTAAGGATATCAGATATTTTTATTCAACTAAAAAAAAAAAGTATAGAAATGAGGAGATTTTCCCTCCACACCACTCTTTAGATCAACACTAACATTCCATTGATTTCTATCTCATTTTGTATCTCCAAACACCAAACAATGAACAAGGATTTCACCTCAAATTCATAGAAAGGGATTTCATAACCTTCTTTGCTCTCTTTCATCTTTCCTCCATGCCCATAAGATCGATGGTTTTTAGCTTCGATCTGGAGGAATCTTTCATAGAAGATGGAGGTGCAAAGGATGAAACAATTGATGGAACTGTGGTCCAGATTTCAATCTGAGTACTGTCGTCTCATCGTGCTTGTAGGTGGAAACCATACTGCTGCTAGGTTTTGTTCTCGTTGATCGATTATAAACCCTAATTTCTTACATTTGTCAGGTTTCTGAACAAATCGATCGATCCCTAATTGATCTCTTTTTTTGGAATCTCTAATCTTCTTTCGTCTTCTTCAACGATCATTTCAAATCGATTGATTATTGTTTCCATTGTTGTTGATTTCGATTGCAATTATGGCTGCTTATGTTCATCGTCATTTACGATCCAAATTCCATGATCTTGTTCATTTGATCAAGTTGCTGCGTGTTTATGGATTGAGATTTCGAGTTAGGGCTTTTTTGATGGCGTTATTCGTGGTTTCTAGTCCTTGGATTGGATCAACGATAAGGGGAGAGTATAATTTCGTGGTTTTCAATCAAGGAGATGATCATCGTGTTGAATTCATAAACGATAATTCAATCGAACTCGAAGTCTTTCTGATGTTGTTTCAGAATTTGACAAACGAAGGGGTTTTGGGGATGCATGATAAGGGTTTGATCGTTAACAATGACGACGAGGATGAAAAGTTGGTCGATTATTATCCGTCGATCGATTTCATCTCGTACGTTGATCTAGAACACAAACACGCAAGCCACGATTACGACTTCGTTTTTACGCATGAAAGCGTAGAATCGGTCGACAAGTTTCTGAAACTCGATGGCATTATGGTGGTCCAGAAAAAGGGTGCGATAAAAGACTCTGAATCGTTACAAAAACCCTCAAACTACGAAACCCTATTCGTAAAACAGCTCGAATTACCAACGACAACCGAGATGATCACGATCATCGCTATGAAGAAAACAAGAACAGTCGGGGATCACGATAAGAACAAGAACGAGGTTGGTAGCAACACGAACATTCCACACAGACGTCTCATGTTCGAACAAAAGAAAGCAGAAGCGATCAAGAATATCGAAAACGTTGTCTTGGAACCGCCAAGAACAATTTCGGGGAAATCGAGCATATACTTCAAGAAAACACGTTATCTTCCGGATTTGATGGATGATTCGTTTCTCGAAGAGTACCCACGAAGAGTTTTCATCGATGTCAATGGAGATAGCACGGTGTGGTTCACTAAAAACTACCCAACAAAAAACAAGAACTTCGAGATCTTTAAACTGGAAACGACGATACCTGAAACGGGTACGAAAGAAGACGTGGAAGACGACGTCGAAGGCGCGTTTGTGGAGACGGAGATAACGGATTGGTTACGAGAGAATGTGAAGAAAGATGAATATGTGGTGATGAGAGGGGAAGCAGAAGTGGTTGAAGAGCTGATAAAATCAAAGGCAATAGGGTTAGTAGATGAGTTGTTTTTGGAGTGTAAGTATCAAGGGATAAAGTGTCAAAAATGCAGAAGACCATATTGGAAATGCTTAGCTTTGTATGGTTTATTGAAAGATGCAGGTGTTGCAGTGCATCAATGGTGGGGATGAAGATGAAGATGAAGATGAAGACGGAGATGGAGATGGAGATGGAGAAGAGGAAGAGAAAGAGTGATCCTAAGGTTTGTTTTGCAGTTTATGATTAGTTTTTGTATGTATATATATATGATTAGTTTTTGTATGTATATATATATATATATATGTGTATATATAGACTTGAGATATTGTAATACCAACCTGTCTTCGTGAGATTCATGAGAACACTTTTTTACACTTGAAACTTCATAGTAAAATGCTGTGAACTGTGAAGGTTTGGATTTTTTTTACCTCCACAATGTTTTTGCTGTGAAGTTTCAAGTGTAAAAAGGTGGTCTCAGGGTCTCACGAAAGCAGACTGGTCTCACGTGAACCCAACCATGTATATATATATATCTCCTCAAGGAATGTTGTTTAATTTGATGACATAACTTGGAGTTTTATGTTAGTTTTTAAATGAATGTTAATCAAGAAAAACACGGTATATCTTAGAAATATGTTTGTTTGTATTACTACTAGTTATGTATATGTGTAATACAGTGGGAGTCATGAATTTTAACGATTTTAAAGTTTCATTAATTTTATTAGAGAAGATTTAACGATGATATAAGTTACACTTGGTTTTTATATATTAATACAATTCGAATAAATAAGAGTTATGATTCCAATTACAATCTATCTATGAAAAAAAATTGTATGATAGTTTAAAATCCAATATATTTAAACGACTACACAAATGTGTTCGATTTACACCAAGAGCAAAGAATCAAGAGATCGAGACCGAGAGTTCTAGAGCAATTGAATGGGAGATGAATGAGAAAACTTTTAATAACTCGTGGTGAATATCAGTTTGAATCTCACCTTGGAGGATGTAGAGAAGACATAGAGGTATGAGAGGGTGAAGACATGAATGAAAAGTGTCAAAAGTATCTTGGAAACATGAAAAGAAAATGTAATAATGTGCATTGGTAACTTGTACTCTATGTTATTTTAATTGTAGATTAAGAGATTTTAAGATTGAATGCATAAAGTAGTTGTACTTAATTTCGTGCATAAATGTATAGTACTTTGTACATTAAAAATTGTTTTTAAGAATTTTGATAAATCTAATTTATAAGGTAGCATAGATAAAGAGAATCATGTTTATAGGATGTTAAAAATGTTTAAATATCTTAATAGACTGTACATAAAATCAAATAATTATATGTCTTATTATATAAAAGAGTTACAATAAGTTTTATATGATGTTTTTGAGCGTTTTAACAAGTTTTTAGAACAATTTAAAAATAAAGTGTCCTTTAATTTTCTTATATGATATTATTTGAAAATTTTGTTATAATAACAAGTGTTCTACAAAAAGATACGTTCATATGACATTTTTCAAAAGTGTCATGTGAAAAACTAATACGACATTTTACTTTACAAGTTTTCTTAAAAAAAAACTTGTGGAAACGTCTTGTAAACTTATTGCAACGTTTTTATATTAGACTCACAATTGTTTGTTCTTATAAACTTAAGTTCTATGAATAAGTCTATCAAGACATTTAGGGGTCGTTTGTTTACCTCTTAATAGTTCCATTAAAATGCAACATCTGAATTATTAAGAGGTGAATCTTGTTTGGCAAAAAAAGTCTACCTCTTAATGTTGTAAAACTTTATGAATGATTTTGTATCATAGGCCTCCATTAACCATTTAACGCCCTAATTTCATTGTAAACAATTACCAAACAATTATATTTCATTTTGCACTATATCATAAGAATCTTTTAATCATTCTGACCACTCAATCATTTTGCACCAAATCATTCAACAACTGCTAAACATCCCTTGAGACAGAGGAAAAGTTTCTTACCTTATTTGGACCCTGCTTTCAAGCAAGATATATTTAGATTTGTTTGGATTTGTTGAATTCTATCAGTTAGGAGTTTTCTTAGAAACATTCTCTATAAATTTAAGACAAAAGAAAAATTCACGTAAATCATCCAGATCATGAATGTTTGGAATCCATATTATGTAAGGAGACATTGCTTTTGCTAATTCAAATTTAAGGGTGATATAAAGTTGGTCTTCCTCTTCATACAACATATACATAGTTAGCACATTCATGTTAATTAGCAGTTCCAGCTCCATATCAAGTATATCTGCTTATATCGTACTTTCAATTGTAGGTTTGTTTGGTGAAATATATTTTATTAGCTGGTGTCTTATTAGAAAAAGTATCTGTCTTTTAAGATGAGGAAAAGTATGTTTGATTTAGGGGCCGTTTACTAAACACTTATTCGGTAAGTGCTTACCGGATAAATTTCTTTATCGGATGAACATGAGAAGGGCCAAGAATCTTACCGGGTAAGAACAATGAAAATGATAGAGAGTCTTACCCGGTAAGTAAGGATGATGACTCTTACCCAGTAACTTGTTGCATTCAATATGTTTTGATGTACTAAAATCTTACGTATCAAAATAAATTATAATGTTGAATCCTATCGGTAAGCACTTACCGGGTAAGCATTTAGGTAAACGACCCCTTAGTTTAAGTGGATGACCTTCAATTAATTTTGTCCACCACCACATTACTAATTATTATAACACATGGAAACATACAAAATACACTACAATAAAAATAAGTTTATACAATGTCACCAATTTCTAAACGTCTTAATAGACTGTCTAATAGAACTTAATTTTTAGGATCAAAATATAAAGCGGCCTATCTAAAGACATTTTAATAAGTTCATATGACGTTTTTGAACATCCTAACAAGTTTTGTAGAATGATACTTGTAATAGAAAGCGTCATATTAGCAATTTTATAGGATATTTTTGAGAAAATGTACTATAAACTCATCTTTTTATGGGAAATTTTTTCAAATAGTATCCTATCAAATTGCTAAGAGGACACTTTGTATTAAAAATGTCCTAAAAAACTTGCCTAAGAACATCATATAAACTTATTACAATGCTTTTAGAAATGACACTTTATCTTTTTGGTCCTACAAATTTAGTCCTATAAAGCAGTCTACTAGGACGCTTAAATTTTTTTGACGTCTTATAAATCCAATTTTATTATAGTGATAAGATGAACGGGTTCTGGAAACGATAGTCGTCTTTTAAAGACAACAAAAATTGTTGTGTCTCACCAATTATTTTATTTAATAGGTATTTTTACCTCTTGGCTTTTATCGATCTTTTTCGGGCCTTGGACCGAACCAGGCTTTCAATCGAAAACCGGACTTTAACCGTCTCTTAGAAAAAAATACATTTGATCAGACTTTTTGGTTGGCTAACCTTAGCTCGGGCTTCTAAGCAGAGGTTCTTCTTTATGTATTCCTAATTGAGATTAAGGGGCCATTTACTAAATACTTATCCGGTAAACGTTTGTCGGATCACTTACACTACTCAATTAACATGTCATGTACAAGAATCTTACCCGGTAAGAGCGATGTCAATGACCAAGAGTCTTACCAACTGAAGATGACGGCTCTTACCTGGTTATCACTTATAGGGAAAATTGGTACATACAATGTTGTTTTTATTGACTAAAATCTTATCCGATAAGATAAGGGATAATGTTGAATTGATTTTATCGGTAAATACTTATCAAGTAAGCATTTAGTTAGGAGCCGTTTACCAAACACTTACCCGATAAGCATTTACCCGTAAAATTCAACACTATCACCTACTTACCGTGTAAGATTTTAGTAAACAAAAACGACATTTATAAAACATTCACTAGGTAAGCACCAGCCGTGGTAAGAGTCGTCACCATCACTTACTGGGTAAGACTCTTGGTCCTTGCCTCGCGCTCTTACCAGGTAAAATTCTTGATCCTTACCATATTCATAGATGGAACGAACATGTTTTTTTATGGGGAAAGACAAGTTTAGAAAAAACTTGGCTTTCACATAAAGCTCCTCCCTAGAAGTTTACTAAATAAGCCACTTTCTATATCATTAAGCCACTACCAAACATTCATGTATAGCTGACCGAATAAGCTGTGAATCTTATTAAGCTCATTAAGCTGCTAATAAATAGACCCTGACCCTGACCCTGACCCTGACCCTGACCCTGACCCTGACCCTGAGCCTAATCCGAGCCTCAAAAGCCCAACACGCCAACCATTTTCCCAAATGCCAAGGTCGAGTTAACGCCTGATCAGGTCCTTCTCGTTCAACCCAAAAGACCGGACCAACATGGCCAAGAAAAGCTTGAGCATCGTGCATCGTTATTCAGCCCCTAATAACACAAAGATCCTAAATATCCACAACGAAAGGGAAGGTTTACATAAACTTAATATCTACAAAACTGCTTTTCACAGAATTCAATGGATAACAACTCATAATGTTTCAATAAATGAAACTTTATTATATAAACCATGCCAAAGTGTAATCTTCGGTTAAAATAACAATAATATGCTTAAATGCATTCCAAACAACAATAATATACAACAAATTAAGCATCACACACAACAGATTTACTCAACAAATAGTATATATACCATGCAAAGGCTGATGGCAGATTATCGACTTCTTAGATACTGTATTGTCGAGGATCCTCCATTGAAGCTGACCAAAAGTAGATCATACAAACTGAGTATAAGATACGATCCAACAGACTAACAAAATCAAGTACAACGTGTTTGTAAGGATACGTGGGCCCTTTTCAATATCTTTCCACGAGTCTTTATAGAGAGCGGAGGGTAGGTTGTTTTTTTTGGGGGGGGGGGGGAAGGGGTTCCTACATATATATATATAGAGAGAGAGAGAGAGAGGTTTGATGGTATGTATCGTGTGAATGTGGGACTCCAACATGCCCCCTCAAGCGGGGGCTAGATGGTGCCCCCTAGAACAAAGCCGAAAAAGTGTATCGACTCCCTAGATGTGGTAGACACTGACTCCAATACCATGTAAGGATATGTGGAACGCTTTTGAATATATTTCCAAAAGAGCCTTACATATAGAAGGGAGGTTCTTACATGGATATAGGTTGAACAGTCTGTGTGTAGCCAATGTGGGACTCCAACATGCACCCCCCCCCCCCCCCCCCCCCAACCGGATGCTAGATGGTTCCCCCAAGAACAAAGACGAATGAGTGTATCGAGTTCTAAATGTGGTAGACCCAAACTCTGGTACCGTGTAAGGATATGTAAAACCACTTTGCGTTCTTTTATAATTATTTGTTTAATTCCTTGTTTTGTGCTTCGTGGGAAGTATTGTTGTGCTTTAGTTTATCTTTTTCACAAGCCAAGGCCTTCTCGGAAACAACTTCTCTGTCTCTTGAGACAAGGGTAAGGTATGTGTCCATTTTACCCCTCCCATACCCTACCTCCTGGTGGGATATTGCAGGTTTGGTTTTAGTGTTTACTTCAAGGATTTGAATGTTTGGCTATGTGTTGATGTTAACGATCTCCTCTACTCCATCGGTCTTATGAAATAACAAAAAAAATTCCATTTTGGGTGCTTCGTATTAAATTGCAACAATGTCGTTTTTGGCAAATGTTTAAGAAAAATTACGTAGTTATCCCTAAGCCATCATTAGAAAACTATAGGAGTCTTTTCTTTACTGATATCAGACTACAAGTTCTCTTTTATCACAGAACTAAAGGCTCTTTTAGACATTTAACTTGTACTCTCCTAAGATGCATGTAGAGTCGATTTTGGGCAAAGGAACCAATTTATTTACTTTAAATATTCTTAGGTTAATGTTGATTTATACATTGGTCCACATTAGCTTCTCATCTTATCTTCTGATCCAAATTTAAAACAAGGCACAATATATGACCACTATAATGTAGTTCTGTTAATTGGTTATGTTGTTTTATATTTCTTTGTAATTTTCCTGATGAGGCTTAATATTTTTTTTAATAATATTATGAAATTCTTTGGAATTGTTCCTGTTTTTCCAAAGGAAAATTGCAAAATGGAACCAACTTTGCTTTAAACCTACTTCGGGAAGCTAACTTTCAAGACCTACAATTTTGGGGCCTAGAAACAAAATTTGCAAACAATTTCAGGTCTTGGTGACATCTTCAGCCGGTTACTGGTTACCTGTTACTCCCCAAGTGATTTAGCAAAAAATAATAATTAATTAATAAATATGTAGAAATTAGAATGCCATGTCTTTATTTAAACTAAAATCATAAAGATTCTCTCATCAATTCAAAGCCACCGGTTTAGCCAAAGATGCCACCATCTATCACCCCTCCTCCACCTAGTTCCTCACCGCCAAATCCATCTCTGACACCCAAAAACTCCTTGCCATCACCATCCCCACCCTACGCTTCATCCGTTGTCACCCAATTCTCTTCAAAGAATTCCCACACCCTAAATGTGCTATATTGTTTAAAAGACCTGATTAGCCTAATGCAACATGATGCAGAGGCATCCATGTTATTTTCAGCCAGTACAAGACCAGCCTATTTTATGTCTCCGGCTCACCTTGGGTTTGATTCAGACTCTTATTTTGGGTTCAAAACAATTAAAAGGAGGAGTATAATTTTCTGGCAGCCCAAAGGAGATTAAGATTCTTCCTCATTTATGCTTCATTAATAGTCCTTTAATTGTTTTCCAACTTTTGGTCTTTCTTTAGTCTTCTCATTTTTCAAGAGTTATGTTTATTTTAATCTTCCAGCCCTATATGGGGTTCCAAGTTGTAGCAGGAAGGCATTTTTTTTTTGAATAATGAGTTTACAATAGCTTGTGAAGCTGTTTTGAGTGTTCATACACAAAAGGAGTCGATTCTTGATTGTTGCTAGTGTGGTGCTGTTGCTTTATCACTAGTAACATCAACCTTCGCCAATTTGGTTAATTTTGGTGGTGTTTAAGTACTTTATCCTTGATCTAATCAGATTGTTAATCTCACTCTAGTCTTATCCCTCTTTTTACCCATCCATCTACGCATCACAACAACTATCACATTAATAATAAAAGAAAAGAATCTGTATACAACCTCCTCATTAACAAACTGAAACAATTTTTGTTTCAGAACATCTAATATTAGTTGCAACACTCCCCTTTTTGTAAAAATTTCAGACTAAGCTTGCCCCGTCGTCCCCAAGCATCTTTACAGAAGTCTCTAGTAGTGATCTTGATCCATGAGATATACTTTAATTCTGAATCTATATGGTGATTGTATTGTGTATATCGTGTTGGGAAGTTATTTTAAATATTTGACTAATAGTTAACGTTCCCTGCAATTTCCATGGGATGGATGGGAGTATTTATTTATGTAGTGAGGAGCAGGAGGGGGATCCTAAAATTAGAAGCATGTAGAATTATGGAAGTCGAAATGTGCTGCACCCAAAAAGAATGAAAACACATCTATTTTTATGAAAGGTAATAGATTTTACCTCAAACTTTTCCATGGAGGCCACAGCAATGGTACCAGTAAAGTTCTTTTAAGCAGTGCCTTTAACTATCATGACAGGGCACGGCACATTGTTGGAGCAGTAGTTACTTACACTTCCCAAAAACATCCTGCACATAAAGGAATGGTCATTTATGTCTCAAATGAATGAAATATCTAGTTCCTCAACGATTAGCTATTTAGTTTCCCCAATCTCCTCAACCAGAAGCAGAACACCTGGATTATTTTGGTTTTCTTCTAAAGTTTCTCTCCTGTCTTGTGCATTTTACAAGCTACTATCTCCTACCCGAAATAAATGCGACATTTGATGTGGTACATAGTTCGATAAGGTCATAGGCATATTTGACTATTAGTCAAAAACCAAAAGGGCCCCACAATATAAAAGAGCCTCCTTGTGGACCAAAATCAATGTTATTAACGCTTGATAATGATTTAGTGATCACCAATGGGCAAAAAGGTAAATTTCAATTGAAGCCTAACCTAAAATCTTTGTTTCTAAAACAAGTACAGGTTATTTTCTAATTCAGAATAAGAAACAATTTCCGGTTGAGAAAAAGACTAATCTTTCTGATTGTGAATCAGATACAGGCTTTTGGTTTGGAAAAAAACAGAAACAGTTCAAGTCTAACTGGTTTATGTCACCAGATCCACAGAAAAGATTGTTGTAAATTGGTTTTGAGTTTTTGCCGAGAACTACTTTCTTAAACAAAACAACTCTTTTGGGTTATGTTCTGTCTCTAAATTCCTCCAACTTCAGAAACCTTAAACATAATCATAATCCTCATTACAAGAAGAAATATAGTGATCTTGAATTAAAATTACCATATTTTAACATGTTTGTATTTCTCGTATTCAGAGATCAGAAAACTTTCCTGTAAACAGAAACAGGTTTTCTGTTGTGAAACACAAACGGTTTGTGTGAGTTAGCATTTAATCAGTACTAAATACCGGTTCAGATGGAAAATGCGTCTGAAAGTGGTCTTAGTTAGACCAGTGATGAAGTAACTACTCTGGGTGCAACATTGAGTTCAAAGACTCCGGTGGTGATTAACGTGGTTGGACAAAATCGGTTGTGGTTCCCCACAACCATGGTGAGAAACTGGAGAAGTGGCAACAAAAGATGCCCTCTACTTGACCACACTGAATTTGGCATGATTTCCCATGGAAAATGCTCCATAGCTCGGTGAAACTCAAGGAGAGGTTCATGCTGTAAGTGTTATCATGCTTGGAAGCACTCTGACTTTCTGTGTCACAACTATTTGCTGAATGAATTTGGGGACACGTTGTACAATGTATATCCACCAAAGACTGAAGTGCTCACATGAGAAAGCAACTTGCAGATACATGAGAAAGAAAAAAAGCAAAATCCCCACAAACAGTATGTATAGTGAAAACATGATATGAGTAGAGTGGTCCACATCAGCTGGACCGGTGACACCTTTCAAGTATGTACCAAAATTTTGGTGAAGCCGGTTTAAGGACATAGGCAATTTGTTATTATTAAGTTAAACATCAATTATTCTACAGTATGACTTGCTCCTATTCTGCACATGTATGAAGTGTGATAAAGAAGTATTGACGTAAGCTACCTTCCAAAAGGCATCAATTCTAAACATAAACATGAAGTGACAACCTCATATTCAGGAAATAACTAGCCCACAATAATCCAAACTAAGAATAATAAGTCGCCAGTGAAACATAAAAAAGGAATTGAACTAACAACATCCTGCATCTCCCAAATATTTATCAAGGATATCTAATTTCCCCATCGGCCAGAAAAGTTTATATGAACATGGCTAAAGGTGCAATGGAGAGCAATATAGACAATTCAACTTAGGTGCAATATAACATCTTAACAAGCTCCAAATATTGGATGCAGCAAGCATTAATGTTACCTCTTGATAGGACCAAAAGAACGGCATCCCATTACAAGCAAATCAGCATGCAATTCCTCAACAGCTTCACATATTTTGTCCTTAGGATCTCCAACCACTATTTGTGTCTTGACCTCCGCCTGGTTTAAATATAAATACACATATATGTATATAAGTATATACTCCAGACTCCACAAATAATGCATAGTTCATGGTGCACCATATGAGTATTTATGCACCTAATTTCAACATATAACTCCTAAATAAGCAAGTTCAAAATAAACTCTAGGGAAATCTACATAATGAATCACAGCCTACAGGTAATCTAAGAAACGGTAACTGACTGACTCGCAACATAAGAACTTCGGTCTTCAGAGGAGCACATAGTTAGAAACTCGGAATGCAAAACGAAAAAAATGGCATTTCAACCAAGTAAAAATAACCCATAGCCATGTTTAATATTCTGATCCTCCTGCATGCAAATTAACAAGCACATCACTTGACAAACTTCTATCAGGTAAGGGTCATGAAGAAGAAGAACACTTCCTCACAGAAAGTTTATCAATAATACAGTTACTGATGCAAAGTCTCTCACTTTCCCACTTGAGGAGAACTTTCTTTACTGTCGTCGTAATTTAAGTAAACGACAATTCAAAATGATTTAATATAAGTCGCTAGCAAAAATAAGCTATTTATCATGCTCCAATTTGGCACAACTTGTACCTAAAGCCATGGTTGGATCTACACAGAAGCAAGGATATGCATGTGCATTCCCTGGAAAAAGATTTTAGAGTTTTCTAGTGCAAAAAGAATTTAAAAAAACAAATTTTTTTTATTGTAATCATGTAATGCATTTCCCCCAAAAAGATTATGGGAAATCCTGGATCTGCCCTGCCTATGACTCTGTCTAGCTTCCAAACTGATGCCTAGTTTACATGTGCAGGTGATGGAAGTTTCGGTCTCGTGATGCTCTTCTGCTGTTGCATTTTAGTCACATGTATATTTAGTTGTTTATCGTTATACTTATCTTGGTCTTAGCTTCTTAGCTAGTCATGATTGTTAACTGTTCTCATTTCTCATGAAGGACTTTAGTCCAAGTACATCCTTTCACCTAGCTTTCTTTTAGTGCTCTTGTACACATATCTATATGATGTAACTTTGCTCAAAGAAATACAATTTTCACTCTTAAATCTTACATAATATCAGAGCAGGAAGATCATCAAAGAACCTCACTATACAATTCAAATATCATGGTCCAACTTTTTTCTTTTTTGAAATATATAAAATATTTATATAAGGCAAATACAACAAATAAACTCACACACCCTCCTCACCTTTGGTGAAGTTTGAACCTCTGACCTCAAAGACTATGATACCGTTAGGCCAAAGGCACTTTGGATCATGGTCCAACTTTGCACAACACAAACCTAACCTACCATGTAGCTCCCAAATTAATGACTAGTTTATATATGCAGTTAATGGAAGATCTTGAAGGAACCTTACTACGCAGATCCAGATATCACACTTTAATATTAAACCAAAGCGAATCACTTGTTAAAAGGATCTTAATATTTGTATGTTAACCCCAACCACACAAAAAAAATCACGATTTACGAGTAAGATTGAGAAACCAACATTCTTATCGGCGCAAATCTTCATAGCATGAGTTATGATAGCATCAGTAATCCGCCGCTGGTGCGCCTCGATAGCCGCAGTAAACGCCGGCACCTCCACATCACCTAAATTTTTGCACAATCAAATAACTATCAAAAATCTCTAACACCGACTATGAAAAACCACAACCTCACACTAAAATCAATCGAAAAGAGTAAAATCAAGCAAGCAAAACATAACAAAAATGGAAAGTGAGTGCACCGATCCAGCATTTACACACACTTAACTGGGACCACCGAAGGGGATAGCACCGGGATTGAGACCGACGGCGATTGACGGCGGTGATTGAACATGAATAATGACTAAAGTTCCTTCTGGACGAAGCTTGACATTATCGAGTGCCCAATTCAAAGCGTTCATGCTCTCTTCACTGCCATCAACGGCGACGAGCACGCATCCAAGGTTTTCAGGCATGGTTTTCTCTCACACTTCCTACTAACTTCTTCAGATATCTGAGCAAGGTGAATCTAGATAACAATGCCGGTGGATGATCGTGACAGCGATCATGAACGTAAAAACTGTTTACCACCGGTCAACTTGTTTCTTTTCCTAATCAATACACTCCAATAATTTTTTATAAATATTTAAATTACAATATAAAAAAATTATTCAATTCCATAAATATTTAATTTATTTGTTTGCACGATTTGTAAAAATAACTTCGTTCGTAGGCATGATAACGAGACAGAGATGAGACAGGTTTTGTAATCTTCGGTCCCTGTCTTTAAAAATAGCCTCCTGCCCCAGTTCCTGTCAAACCCCATGAAGAATATCTGTTTGTTTGTGTCTACCGGGGATCCCGGCTTCGACCCCGGTTTGAGTAACATCCCCCAACCCCCGCTCTCAGTTTGAGTCTACTGAGAATCCACGTTCCCGTTCGGGTTGGGTGAGCCGGGCTCTCCACAGGGTCGGAGCAAATCACCATCCTTACTTGTTTGTATTGTAATAGGGGGATTCGGTAGTCGAAATCATTCTTAGTTGTAAACTAGCAACAAAAAGTGGTGTTCTATAATGAAATTTTTAGCATCATTTTTATTGCATATGACGTCATTAAAAAAAATTATGGTATCACGTGCGTCCTTCTGATACATGTTTGTCCATTTCTTTTCTACTCAATAACAGTAAAATAACGTGCAAAGAAATTCATCATTACACATCTTTTCAAAGCGTCATTTTCCTCTCTCATCTCAACTATATATCTCTCTCTTACCCTCTCATATTTCTCTTACACGAACACAAATACTCTCTCTCTCTCTCTGTGCATATATATATATATATATATATATATATTATATTGTGTAAGTAAGAACTCCTAGAAAACTCTTTCAAACCAGTTTCTTCTCCTTCTTTAATGAAACAAGTTTGTAAAATTCTTTGTTTTGCTGTTAATCATTAAGAAACTTGTTTGTTATTTTAAAAACGTCTTTATTCCTTTTAAATACAAACAACCGGTTTTGTATATCATTCTTCTTCTTGATTTATTTTAACCACATTTCTAAAACCCTAATCTTCTTGAAAATCCAAATTCTTCTGGTTTTTCAAAACAAAGTTTATCCTTCAAACTTTATTCCTAAAGTGCTTTCTAACATAAATCTATGCACAATTCTATTTTTCTGTTCTTCTTTTACAAAAATGGTTGTTGCTCAAAGCGTGAACTTTGTCGTGGAAGACATTACATTCAAAACCAACAATCACGTCGCATTCCTGGATATCCCTACAGACAAACCCCAGTTTGCAGATGTTGCTAAATTTCCGAAGAACAGTGTTCTAGGATACGCCCTCATCTTCCAACCTGTAATAGTGAAGGATATCATGAGGCAGTTCTGGTATACTGTTGAAGCAAAGACGGTGACTTACAAGAATGGAAACTCTATCGTCCAGATCTTTTGTGTGATCAACAATATGACACTAAGTTTCGGCTTCTCAATTATTAGGACTGTTCTCAGACTTTCTAAGTCTATTCCCTATACCAGAGGTCTAGACACTGAGCATATCGTCAAAATTTCTAGACGATATTCGCTATGTCTGGCCTTTAAGGAAAGACTCTGATTCTGAACTTAACAAGTCGCTGACAAAGATTGAGAAGATAAGGATGTATGCGATCTACAATACCTATTTTTGCACTTCATTCAATGCATGGGTTGAAAGACTGGTGGCCAAGATCAAGCAAGTTGGGTGGTGTTGAACATCGGCTGCTCAGTGATCAGAGACATCAATGCCAACTACACAAAACTCATATTTGGATCTGGTACTAAAGCTGAACAAGTGTCAACGAGAAAAGGTGGTCCCCTACACCAGGTTCCTGAGTGAGATTCTCTCCAGAATCTTAACAACTAGATACCCCACTCAAAGTGACCTCCCTATCTGTTGGCTTGGATCAAGAATTATTGATCACAAGACCAAGCCTTCAAACATTGGTTTATTTCCTCCAATGTTGAGCATAGTCAATGTTCCTCTTCTTTTTCTTCTTCTTCTTCAGTAGCTACGACTGTGGCAAACCCCCCTCAATCAATCCCAACTACTACAACCTTATCCTCTTGAAATAGGACACCATCTGAAGCCCCTCTTAATCTTTCAAATAAGGTCAAGAAAGCCACAAAGGGGAAGCCATATAATCTAGCTGAGACCTCTCAACAGGTCTCAACTATTGAAATTCGCCTCCCAAGGCATCTGTTGTTACCCTTCATTCTTCTTTAGCAATATCTTCTGTTGTTGCGTATGTGTGGCTCCTACTCCAACCACTTCAATGACAGAAATCACTGAATGTGTGATTCCCAACATAGCCACTGCTAATCCTCCACTTATATTCTCAATTGTTCTCTCCTCCCCTTCTTTGGTCTCTACTACATGTGTTGATGATCCCATGGTGGCTGTCCCCACCATTTGTGAAGCCATCACCACAGGACCTGAGAATGCTTCTCTTGAAACTCCTTAGATACATGATGCTGATCCTCTCGATAGTGCATTTGAGATGCCCAATGGTAATCCTTCAGATACTGCTGATGACCCTTTAGGTATACACCAAACCTCCATTTCTTTCATTCTTACTAACACTGAGCTATCTTATGCTCAATGCTCTCTTATTTTCTACTGTTTCTTTGGAGAATGAATCCCCAGTCAACAAGACTGAAGCCTATGACATGCTCGGGATGTCAAGCTGTTGCTCTCTGCTGTTGCAACCATCATCAACAAAATGGATGAAGTGCACCAGGGAATGCCCTCAAAGGATGATCTGACTCACGGCCTCTCTCTTGTCCAAGCTGAGGTGCGTGAAGTCAAAGAAACGTTGAACGCCATGAAGACGAAAGTCCAAAAAAAATTTGAAGTTGTTGCTAATCAATCCAGCAAAGCTGAAGATGTTCAGGCTCACCTTACCAGACATGGTGAGCTCCTTCAACGGATCTTCCAACTTCTTCATCAACCGACACCTATCCATGAACCCTCCTTTAGTGTAGTTGATCGTCATCAGCTGGATAGGGTTGCTAAATTCAACCTTCATCAGGCCGAAACAATTATCTCCATCGAGCAGAAGCTGCAAGACTTAGTTTCTTGCATCCCTCTCTCAGCTGTTAATGTTGATGATGACAAAGAGGGGGAGAAGTCTAACGAGGACATTAGAGAAAATAACGATATAGGGAATACGGTTGTTGAGGATGCCAGGGAGAATATCCCTGAAGTCATCGATGATGATGATGTCGATGATGTCGTGGTTACTGTTGCTGACTATGAAGACCTTCATCCTTCCACCTCTACATTTCCAAATGTTGGTGATGAAGATGACGATGATGAGGAGGACTCTAAACCTCAAATTCCATATGAAGGTACTAATCTTGGTGGTGATGATGATGATGATGATTTCTGCGTCCAGATCATACCAAGACAACCAATGAAAGGAATCTCCTTTAAGGAACCTACTTTCTAGGGGGAGAAATCATCAGGGAACCAGCACTCCTCAAGCAAAGGAAAATGAGTGGCTGAAGAAAATCTTGCCCTAGTTCTTGGGGCAGTCAGTCAATCTGAAGATGCAGACACTTCCAGGTTTGTACCTCTTTCCTCAGAAACTGAACCTGCTACCCCTATCCCTTTATCTCTCTCTACAACAACCCCTCTTGGTCTCTCAATCCATCTCCCATATTTTGAAACCCTAGAGGACGATGAAGATGAAGCCTATATCATAATACCCAAGAAGTCGTCTAGACAACCTGTGTGTTCAAAATTTGAAGAAGACATGAGGGTGGCTCAACTGATAACTCAACTGGACCAATCTAGATTAAAAATTCCTCTTCGTACCTCTGGATATAGTGAGCTCGACTTTCTTTCAGAAGCTGAATATGAAGAATCCCTACGTGCTGAACAAGAGCTGAAGAAACAACAACCACAACTTAAAGACAACTTGGAGTTAGCCAAGACTCTAGCTGATCAGGCACTTGCTGAAAGGAAATTCTCATAGAGTGATCCGCTCAGTGCTCAAGCCCATCTCTTAGAAGAAGCTGAACGAAAACATCAACGAGTGCTGAAACTAAAGAATCGTGATCTCAACTGGTGCAGAGAAATGATCGGAAGAAGAATGATCCCACACAAGATCTCAAACGTCACTATTAGTGGTCGAATGAAAAATGGTGTTCTTCTTATTTCAATAGTCATATTTCGAGAGAACAACGATGCTGTCACTGTGTATCCCTCTTTTCTCAATTAGTATGGTTTCTATGAATGGCTCGAGATTTGACATGCTATCTAGAAATCCAAATCCAAGCACAATTCTTACATTAAAGAAGTTCTAAATGAACTATTCAACAAGGTGTCGAAGATCGTCGAGGTTCCTCCTCTGCCACAAAAGTCCTCTCGAAGACGAATCCTTTCTGATCCTGAAGATGGTGCATCCCACAAGAACGAGCGTGAAACAAAATTCTCAATGGATGAACTATTCAAGGATAGAAAGAAGCCAAATATCTCAATTTTGAATTTGTCACTGCCTGAGAAGGATCATTATATACCCAACGCAGTGCATGTGAAACCTGAATATAAACATATGTTCATCAACTATGATGGTCAATACAGGTTTCAACGAGTGTATGAGTTCCATCTCTGCCCAATAGATCATTTGGAATATCTTCGAACTTGGCTAAACGAAGACATCTATGGCAAGATGATGGACCGCAAGATTGGAAAGAAAATGCTCAGATGAAAGATGCAAGGAGAAGATGTTCCAGATTACATCAACTTCAACAATCTAGATTAGTCAACCTTTCAGTCTTGTAAATCTTGCATTTCTTTATCTTTTATTTAAGTGTATAGCTTTTATGTTTTAAGCCTATCAAACCGATTGTAATCAGTTGTAATGTTTTCTCTTGTAACGTATTTCAATAAAATAATTGGTTCACTGAAAAAGATCACTGAAAAGAGTAAATGGGACAAGTACTTATGAGTTCTATTTATTTCTTACATTCGCTAACACCTTTCTAGTCGGTAAATATGCCCTCAGTATTCAGTTCTTAATATTGTGCAAGTTTATTTTTTCCTTGTATCCTTACCATTAAAGTAGATTTCCATAGTAAATTTTATCACTGCAAAATATCCCAAAACAGTTAAAAGGGACAAGTATTTTACTAGTACCTTTTTCTTACTATTATACCTAAGCAATTTTCTTATGTTGCTTTGTCATCATCAAATAGGGGGAGATTGTTGATCATCTCTCTCAGTGATTTAATGATGGTCCTTTTTATCTTACAAGTGCACTATCTTTGTATTCAGCTTCAGCGATCATTACTGAATCTGTTCAGTGATCGCTGAACATGTATTGTAATTCTTTCAGAGACAAATATTCTTCAGGAAGACAAAACTCACACCATAGAACCTTCAGCGATATCGAAGATAAAGCTGAAGACAGAGACAAACAAGTTTGTGATTTGATGCGGTTTTCAATTATAACAATCTTATCTACACAAGTGTGAAATCTACTCAAGATTCAACAAACACTGATGAAACCTCTAACGTTATTCCAGTGTCAGAGATCAAATGAATCTTGTTGAACGAGATTGGTTTTTGTCTTGTCCTTCTACATACAAAGGACAAGCCCATAACTCTCAAAGTAAAGTACTGTACGGAATCGCTCTACTGTCTCCAAGCGTGCTTACCTACTTTGTGAAAGACTATTGTTCATATACGGCCAAAGACTATATAACTGTAACAATGGATAAGCTTACCTTTAGAAGCTTGTCATGTGCTTTGTAACTTCTAAATTGAATTTAATGCAATGGGTATAAATAGCTGAGAAGTTATTCCTTCTCAGTTATCTTCTCTAACCTCTTATCTCTGTTCAAGCCAAGCTTCCTTGACTTGAAGATCTTATTACCCAAGAAGATACTTCCCCATCTCTCAACCAATCTAACCAGTGAAGAGCACAAGACTTCTTAACCTTTTCTTTTAGAAAGTCTTTTCTTTCTTGCTTTCTGTAACTTGTGTGTTTCTTTGATTATTTACACAAGTTTTGCGTCTTAACTTTTCCGCAAACAATCTGTAAAAATTTGTATTGATCTTCTTTATCAATATAAGTTTTTTTAAAAGTGAAAGCTGCTGTGTTTGTATTCATCCCCCCTTCTACAAATTGTTACGTATAAACTCTTGTAAATCCAACTAGGACCAACATTCTCTATGGGAATGACATGTGGTACTTAATATCATTATTATGTGTTACAAGACGATAGTAGTTCAATACATATACTTGCACTGAGATTTATTTTTGTTTTGAAATCTAATGTTGCATAAATCTTACAATGTTCCAACAATTATGTTAAGGTGTTCTGTACAATACAAAAAAGAGAATGTAAAACTCTCCAAATTTGTTTACACTAATGAGGTTAAATGTGCTATAATTTATCATCAATATATTGGGATAAACCAAAGGGCCTTCGGCCTTGCGGTATCGTAGTCCTTGGCTTCCTAGGAGGTCAAGGGTTCAAACCTCACCAAAGATGAGGAGTGTGTGTGAGTTTATTTGTTGCATTTGCCGTATATAAATATTATACACTTCAAAAAAAATATCGGGATAAGAAAATTTTAAATTATTTTATTAATATAATTAATACTTGAATTACTAAAATATAGTAATTGTTACAGTTGGATGTCACTTTTTTTTGCCATTTTGATTTTCGATATCTTATTTGAAAAAATTATAACATAACTATCAAAGATACTCTAAATAACTCTGATCCTCATTTTATTGAGAAAAAATAAAATAAAAGAGGATTTCTATTGATTGATAGGGTCTCGGGATAGACGAGAAAGAAGCTACATCAATTTTATGGATACGAGCATCCACAATGTTGGGTTTTTTGCTTCGTTAAAAAGTGAATCACTGGCAGCAACACTTAGAGATCCCGCACAAAGTCCACCTTCAAGAAACATCAACGTGAAGGCATTTTTTTTCTCACTCAATGGTTGAGGCTAGCGGGAGGTCCGGGATCGAACCAGGACTTGCCTTGTACTTGGGCAAAGTCACATCACCTCTTTGCGAACTGAGCTACATACTAGAGGCTGTTGCATGTTGTGTTTTTTTTATTAACCTGGATATCCAATCCGCTATGTGAGTCGACTAATCCCAGGACGACCATCTGCTTTATAGATAACCTGGAGTCACCGCATTTGAACCTCCGTGGCTACAAGCATATTTTTATTCCTCCTTGGATTTGAACCTGAGACCTCCAAGTACTTTTGACATTTGGAGTCAAGCTTAAACCAACCAAACACCACCCTTTGTGGTTTACATGTGTTTTGACTCCAAGGTTTTCACATTTTTTTCATTCTACTTCTCATTCTACTTTACCACCAACTTAATAACTCAAAGACCTCAAACATGTATCCACTATGACAAAACCTTTCTCAAGTTTTTTCATGGTCTTTTTTCGAGTTTTTTAGGATCCTACCATTTTCACTTTATATCAATATGCTCTCATTTATAAAAATGATAGGCTAAATACACTCCTGTATATTTATGTGCAAATAAACGTGAACGAAAACTTGTTTATGTTCGTTCGTTTAACTTAACTGAACATATGAATGGACATGGACGGTAATCGGACAAATCTTTTTTTGTGTTCATGTTTGTTCGTGTTCGTTTATGTTTGTTCGTTAAGATACTAAACAAATGTAAACAAACGAACGTAAATAAACATAAACGAATATAAACTAACGAACACACATGAACTAAAAGCAACCACCATTACTCATCTCGTTTATAAAAAGTAACATAGCAAAATGAAAAATAGGGTATAAGAGAAATAGGAATTCTAAAAATTTAACTTTGATTTTACATATTAATGTCATAATATATAAATATATTCATATATATATATATATATATATATATATATATATACTAGAAGAGTACTCGCGCAATGCAGCGAGACAGATCTTGATTTTAATGTTCTATTTTATTATTTGTCTCTGTCGATTTTATAATACGATTTTATGTGTTTTTAAAAAATCAATATGATTTTATTTTTGAATAAAATATAAATTTGAAGATATCATAAAAA